TGAAGCTGTATGATAAGGATAGCAAGGAGCACCAGAAAGAGCACAACTGCAATGGCTGAATAAAGGAAGAAAGGGAACCCAGTTCAAGATGGTGTTCTGGGAACACACGGAGCTATTAAGGTCGCAGGCCACAATGCAGGTGCATGTTCTGATTCAGGGAAAAGACACTTAAGAGCTCCACATTTTGGACTGGAGTTCTGTGATGGATGATGAGATAATGTGTGGGAGAAGTGAATCCTAGTGAAGATGCTGGATCTCGGATATTTCCAAGAGTTTCTGGAGAATACTATATATAAGCATGGGTATGGGTTTCCCATTATGGGGTGGGAGAGAGAGGCTTGGGAAAAGCCGGTGGTGGCAGTTGAGGCTCTGAGGGTTTTTCCTGAGAGGCTATTTTGTTTGTCGTGTGTGGTTCTAAAAATAAAGTTAGTTTCTTTTGACAAGTGGCTCCTGATTGTGCCCAGCCAGCTGCCAGCATCTGGCAAGGTGTGACTGTCCCCACCCAGCCTTCTATTGGTGTCCACATCAAGGCCATTACGAGCGGAGGCTGGGAGGGCAATGAAGGTGAGGCGTGGTCTGCAGTGTCCCACTGCGACCCTCAGGGCCCTGAGCAGCGCCTGTGCCTTCTGGACTTCAGCAGACACACAGGCACGCCTTACCTGCCTGCCTTGTCCATCGACCTCGTCCAGGGGCTCCAGCCATGGGTCTCCAGCCAATGCCCCCTGTATGCACCTTGCCCTGTGTCTCCCCTGAGCTTGCCCACCTGTTCCTGCTGCCAGTCCTGTGCAGGCAGCCACTGTCACTTTCCTACTGCCTGCCTCTGGGAGCCTCCCTGAGCACGGCGCAGTAGAAGTGTTCCCCTTGCTCTGGTGATTCTGTCCTGCTGGCCCCAGGCTTCTAACCTGCAGCTTCCCACCTCTCCCCTCCAGTTTTCTCCCCACCTGAGCCCCCAGGCACAGCCCCTATCTGAGAAGGTCTCATTCAGACCTGGCCACCCGATGTCACAGAGCTCAGAAGGGACAGAGTGCAACCCTGCTCTCACCCAGGGGGCAGTACACTGCCCTGCCTCACTCCACCAGGCCCGTGGATTGGCTGGGCACCAAGCAGCTTATGGGCCTGGGAAGCATGGCTTCTGAGAGCCCTGCCCAGCCAAGGCCTCGCCATGCCCACAAGATCCCCAGGCCTTGTCACACAGTTCCCCTCCCTCCCAGGCCCACTACCCTCCACCATCTGTAGGCTCCTGCGTCTCTTCCGTCTCCCTAAGATACCTCATGTGTATGCCAAGTCCTCTTGAGCTTTTGCCTAGCACTTAGGAGGGCTGCAGCAGAAACCCCTGGGCTCTTTTCCCTTCTAGGCAGAGTGTTATAGACAAGTCTGCCTCTAGGGCACAAGGCACAGAATCCCAGCTGAGATCGTCTGGACTGTGTTCTCCCCAGCTACCGCTGCCAGGTTTTCACAGGTATCCCCTGGCGAGTGCTGGGATCTGTCGCACTTGCTCAGTGGGATAGATAACAACTGGATGGATAACAGTGCTGGTAACCTAACGCCTCCCTCCAGGGCCAGCACCCCTAGGCACGGGCGGGTGAGGGTGGGCACGGGCCTGCTGTGGAACCCACTGCCTGTGTACCTCCACGGCTCAACACCACCCTCTCAGACATGACTGGGGCAGTGCAGGCTTCTCTCGATCCTCAGGAGCCACTGGTCAGGACACGGGATTTTGGGGTGACCACCAGCTTTCTTACCCACCAGGGAGGAGGGTGGGGAGGGGCAGCATCTGACATTGGGCCACACTGCAGCCAGTGGGCACCACTGGCCCTGACTGTGGGGCTCCAGGCCCAGCTCACCTGCCTGTGTCGTGAGACCAAGCTCCTTGGGCTCATGAACAGGATAGTCGGGGATAAGCGTGTGTGGTCCACACCACAGCAGGAGCTCTGTTTTAGTATGGAAATATCTTTAGAAATATTTTATCCCAAAATCAATGTTTCTGGCTTTTCCTAAAATCAGAAGATTGGAGCAGTACCTGGCCTCGGTCTGGGCATGGCACTGGCACCTGGTTGCTGGGCCCGTGGGCCCTGGACGCCCTGGACGCCCTGGATGCCCAGTGGCCCTTTAGCATAGATGGGAGACTGATTTCAGCTGTCTGCTATAGGCCTATCTTCCATAGGTGACTGCCAGTGGTCCAGGCCCTGTGTGCGGGCCTCTTCTGCTCTTGTCCAGCACCAGTATGTGTCTTGCATTGAGCACGTCTCAGTGGACCACACCTTTCTGGTGCCTGTGCATGGCATCTGCCACCCTGTTGGACCATTAGGTCTGTGGCCTCTGCCTCTCAGCATGGCTGGGTCCACCTTGGGTCTTCTGTGTGGAGAAGCCCCACCATGCCCCCACAGTGTAGCCCGGCCAGTGCAGAGTGTGCTCGGTCTGGTTGCTTGCCCAACATCTTACTCCTTGCTGTGGCCTGGCTGTGTTGTCTGCACACCGTGTCCACTCACCTCTTGTCAGGCAGGAAGACAGTTGCCTGTGCTGTGAGGAGCACTTGCTCCTGGCTGTGGTGAGGAAATGTGGTTCTTGTTCTTCTGTCCTGTGCCTAAGAGCAGGGTCGCTGCTCTGCACTCCACTGGGGGCCAGTTTGCCTTCTGTTTCTGAATTCTCCTGGGTGCTGTCCCGTGACCCGCATAGGTGGTGTTCCATGTTGGTTTTCCTCCTCCTTCCCTGTCTTCTCCTAGCCTGTGTTTTCTTCCCTGAGTTCTTGCACTTAGGGTGAATGGTCTTTCTTCACTGTGAGCCAGACGCGGCGTGTACACCTGTAGTGATTCTGGAGGCTGAGGCCAACTGGGGAAACTTAGCAAGACCCCATCTCAGAATGTGAATAGACAAACCAGGGGTGGCACACCCATTGCTCCCAGGGCCCAGGACAGCTCTGTGTCTGTGGCCAGTGGCTTGCCTTGCACCTCAGCAGATATGGAGCCTCCCTGGCCTCTCTTCTTGGCAGCCTGGAGGGCCACAAGGGCTGCCCCCCAGCCGCCTGCCCACTCTCTGTTTTCAAAAGCCAGTGTGCATCTCATGCTCTCTGTCTCCCTCGCCCTATCTTTGAGGACTGCCCTCCAGGCTTTAAGAACAGGCCTCCTTCGGGCCTCCTCGGTCAGCTGCAGTGCCTGCTGGTAGAGGTATCCTGTTGCCTAGTGCTGGGTCAGGTGTGAGTGTGCCCTCTCTGGAGGGGCTGAAGTGAGGGCAGCTGGGGGGGTTTCTTGCCTGGGGAGAGGGTGGCTTCTGGGTCTGGGGAGGGCAGAGTTGTGCCCCCAAAAGCATGGGTTCAGATGTCCCACTAGTGAGTGTGTAGTCCCTCCAGGCCAGTGGCCCCAGTCCTGCCTCCTGAGTAGCATCCAGCTCTGTTGCTGCCACTGAGCATTTACCCACCAGGGGGCAGCTGTGGCTCATCCCAGGCCCTGGTCTGCTGGTCCACAGGACCGGCTTTCGTGTGCCAGGGTCAAGTGTGTGAGCAGTCAGGAACGTGCAGGACTTTCCCTATGAGGGCAGGCACGCTGTACTCCAGCCCTGACTCCTGGACATGGTTGCTGCTAGCTCATGCTGACCTCTGCAGAGGGCCACAGCAGGACACCTGTGCTTCCCTCCCTGGAAGGCTCAGGTGTGTTGGGGGTTGAGGCTGCAGATCACCACTCGAGGAGCAGCAGGTCAGATTCTGGAGCCCTGGACTGATTCACAGGCAGACCAGCTCCCATCCATTCCCCTGACCCCAGGCTACTGAGTTGGCCAGGCCTGAACCGGCCCCTGCCTGGGCTCTAGCCCAGGGCCAGGTCAGCTGGTAAGAACCACAGGCAGGGCTTTGACATCAGCCTGTCCAGAACAGGGTCTCGTGAAGTGGGCCCTGCTTGGTGCAGAGGCAGGGTGGGCTGTGACAGCGGCTCTGACAGTCACCCCATGTGTGGCACTCAGGGGCCAGAGCCTGGAGAGCCTGAGGTGTGAGGAGGACATTCCGTCTCAGTGCTGAGTCTGAGAAACTCGGGGTTGGGCTTCTTCAAAGCCACAGCTGTTGGCCTGAACACCAGGCCCAGGCTGCCCCGGACGCTGGTTGACAGCGCTGGGCCTGCAGCCTGTTCTCGGTCTGTATCTCTGGCATTCATGATGGCAGCTCATTGTCCAGGGGCTCAGGCCAGAACCCTCAGGGCCACTCTGTGTCACACGTCTAAGCTGTCGATAGCTGTTGCTCTCCGGGGGTCCTGACTTCATCTTTCCTCTACCTCCCCTACTGCCACTCAAGGCTCCTGGCAGAGCTGGCCTGGAGGGCATCACGGGTGCTTGCCTTGGCCGTAGGTGGGTGGGGTCAGCCCAGCCCCCCACACTTCTGCTGCTCCCTGGTGTCATGTTCCAGCCTCCAAGCACAGGCCCTGGGAAGGCAGGGTCCACACTGGGGAAAAGTGTCCTGGCTCACTGGAGGCAGCCCCAACAGGCAGTGAGAGGTAGGGGACATAGAGGCACTCCACCCAGCTGACCTTGGGTCACTCGAAGCCACTCTGTCCCCACCACCACCATCCCACCTCTGCCCACCCCCAAGCCTCTCAGCCCAGCTAAGGTGCTGCTTGATGATGCACAATGGGGAAGACCTAGAGCCTGCTCCATAAGCTAGTCAGCCTCACCTTCCAGCCCCACACCCCTGTACTCTTTACCTTGCCCTGCCCGGCCTCTCACCCCTGCTCTCCATCTCCAGGTCCTTGCCCAGGGTCCTTGATCCCGTGTGGGAGCTGCTACCCACCCTTGTTGGGAACCTGGGGGACCTCTGGCCCTTCCCTGGACACCCAGGCTCCTCTGGGTTCTGTTTTCTGTGGTCACTCAAGAGGTTCTGACAATGGGTCTTGCACATGACATATGCTGGTGCTCAGCTGTACCTGTCTGAGCCATGCTCTTGGCAACGTGTGCATTTTCCCTGTAAGCCCAGCAAGGTGTATAGGAGGATGCCACTTACTCTGCTGTTCTTCTGTCCTCAGAGCCTCCCAAGATGAACCCAGTGGTGGAGCCGCTGTCTTGGATGCTGGGTACCTGGCTGTCTGACCCTCCGGGAGCTGGGACCTTTCCGACCCTGCAGCCCTTCCAGTACCTGGAAGAGGTGCACATCTCCCATGTGGGCCAGCCCATGTTGAACTTCTCGTAAGTCCTCCACTATAGGCTCCTGAGTCTGGGCTGATCCAAAACAGAGACACCAGCAGGAAGGTACAGCAGGAACCTGGTGGCCTCTTGGCTTCCGGAACCTGGTGGCCGAGGCAGGAGTGGCGGGATGGTCTGTCTGGTCCCATCACTTATAGAAAGATGTTAGGCAAACCACAGAATCGTAGGCTTGTTAACCAAGCGTGGAGCAAGAGCTTGTTTAAATCTGATTTCAAGCTGAATTCCCGTGTGGAAGTTAGTCACCCCAGTATTGCTGAGAACAAGGGGTGAGGCTTTCCTTCATATTTACCCATGAGCTAGTTAAGGATCGAAGAATCTGTTAGTACTGTGGTTCTCAGAGTCTCTGCCTGCAGGAAAGCAGAGATCCTCTGAGGTCCTCAGCCGTGTCCCATGACACACTCACTGGGAGAACACTTCTGTTCTGGGGGCAGAGTGCTCCCATGGTCTCAGAAATGAGGAGGGAGCTGTGCACCTCCTCCTGCCTCTGCTGTCTGTTGACAGTGGCAGTGGCAGTGACTCAGCCTGGCGCACTGGACCTCTTCTAAGGTGCTCAGGACCAGACCTATTCCAGCTGCATAGTGTTAGATTGGGGACGTGTGCACAGACTTCCGGTTGCACACGCTAATCTTGAAATAGAAATCTGGAGTGCTCCACAAGTTAAGCACTCCTGAGCCCTGACGTTATGCCGCTTTGAGTTTCAGATTTTAGGAGCTCCACTTGTATTTGTGTAACACCTCCAGTCTTGGAGGGATTTAGAAGGTCACACCGGGCTCAGGGATCCTCCTACCTCGGCCTCCTAGGCCGCTGGACACAGGCACTATCTGTGCCCAGATGTGGTGTTTTAGATTGAGCAGACAGGGCCTATGAACCAGAGTGAGTATCTGAGAACCAGAACGGGTGTCTGTGTCAGCCTTGCCTCGCTGTGACCAGAAGACCCAATGGCACTTAGAGGAGGGCAAGTCCAGGGGGCTCACAGTTTCTGAGGTCTCAGCCCACAAATGGCCTTCTCCTGGGCCGAGGTGAGGCAGTATTCATAAGGAAAGGTCCCATGGAGCTAGGTGTAGCTCAACAGAGGGAGGTTCTGGAGCTGCCCCCAGCATCCATGGTGCTTGGGCAGCACTGTGCAGGAGGTGGGTGACCAAGAAGCAGAGAGATGGGGGTGGGGCATAGGGAGGACACACCTTGCAGGGCAGCCATGCCCACCTTCCACAGTCCCCACAGCCAGCCATTCACACAGGGTGGACAGACCAGGGAACAGCCGTCACAGTCCAACCTGTAACAGTGGGATCTTGGGTGATACAGATAATGCAGACCAGTGTCATTGCTGGGTTCCGTTCACGACTAAAACACGCATGGGTCACTTCAGGTAAACTGGGCTAACTAGGTGTGTAAAACCACACAAGAGACACAAACACCTTCTTCTTTGGGGTCACTGTGACGGCTCCTCTGACTTTAAGGTCTCCAGGAAGAGAGAGAGAGCACGCGCTGACCCCTTGTATTGAGGAAAAGCTATTCAAATGAGGCAAGGGGTCAGGTTTCAAGGGGCTAAATCTATCTTCATGATGTCCACTGTCAGCAGGTTGATGACATCTAGGTAGGCCACACGCAATGGCACAGTAAGAGGAGGGGACACACACAAGGCTCTTCCATGGAACATTCCATCCTAAACAAGGCAAGGGGTTAGATTATAAAGGAACAGGTGAGCACAGCTCCACCTATGGGGCTATAGCAAGACACCCATGCATGAGACACCATCCCTCAAACCCAAGAAGAGTGGGGAAAGCTCTGCCACATTTCTGCGACTGAGCGCCTCAGTACCCTGCCGGGGAGTGTGACTCAGTCACGTGCAAGGTTGGTCTCCCACATGTCATTAGTCTCTTTAAACTATGGCCTGCCGCCAGAGGGCTGGCGAGTCCACCTTGTAACTAGCATGAAAGAACAATGGGATGGGATCTCGTGTGAACACAGTGCTAGACATGCACGTCCCCTAGACTCAACGATGCCTCTCTTGTGAGCAGATGCCCCAGGCAAGGTGCACTGCTGACCCTGACCTGTTAGAAGTTCACCTGTGAGAGTCGTACACAGGTTGCCTGGAGATGTAGAGGGAGGTAGTTTTCAGGCTGTGGGCACATGCCCCGTGGGAGCCATGGACCCCTCTTCCTTGTGCTCCTGTGCCTGCTACAGGGGCACATGCTGGCTAGGGATCGTGCCCCAGCCCAGTGCCTGCTATGTCTCTCCCATACAAACCACTGGACTTGGGTTAGGTATAGCTCAACAGAGGGAGGTCCTGGAGCTGCCCCCAGCATCCATAGGTGCTTGGGCAGCACTGTGCAGGAGGTGGGTGACCAATAGGCTTGGGGAACAGAGCACCAGGGGTGGACATGAAAGAGCCGAGTCCTAGAGTGGTAGAGGTGGCAGATTCCAAGCGCCACTTCTGTCTCAGGTGAGACTGGCTGCTGTGGCCCATGGCCCCTCTGGGGTGGCTTCACATCTGGGTGTGGGCGCTGGCAAGCCCAGTGCCTGCCTGACATCTCAATTTCCCTCCAGGTTCAACTCCTTCCACCCTGACACGCGCAAACCCATGCACAGAGAGTGTGGCTTTATCCGCCTCAAGCCCGACACCAACAAGGTGGCCTTCGTCAGCGCCCAGAACACAGGTACTGCCTACACCCAGCAGAGCAGGGGCAAGGGCCACAGAGCTCGCTGGCCAGTGGTGTGGCAAGCAGGGCTCGCAGATGCCCTCCCAAGCATCCTTGCTTGGGGACAGTGGAGGCATGGTGTACTTGTGAGCTGCAGCCTGCAGGTGCCAGCTGAGGAGCAGGGCTCCGCGAGGGCAGGCAGGTGTGTGGCAGGGTCCTTTCCTGAAGGCAGGCTTGCCCCAGCATGAGTTCCTTCTGAAGTAGTTCCCCAGCCACACCATGACTTAGAAGACTGCCACGTGTCCTGGCCCATGCCTGAAATCCCTATGACTCGGGAGCCTGAGGCAGGAGGATCGGAAGTTCAAGACCAGCCTCAGCAACTTAGGTTTTGAGCTGTGGTATTCCATCTCCAGTACCAAAAATGAAAAAGAAATTACCCTCATTTAGCTTGCATAGCTGTTGACCTTACCTACTTGCCCAAAAGCTGCTCAATTTGGGTGTTCAGGAAGCACCCAGCCTGGAGCGGAGCTGCCCAGGCATTGGTGGGAATGGCAACTGAGGAAGTCAGAGGGTGTGCCCACCACACAGTGCTCCAGCCGGGGGTTCTGGTAGGAAGGCTGGGTCCAGGGCACCTCTGTAGAAGCCAGCCCCCCAGCACTGGTCCTGTGCCGTAACACATTCAAAACCCGGAAGGCCATGTGCAGGCCAGGGGGGCCTTGCACTGGAAGGCTCAGAGGCCAGCCTCCTGGTGAGGGGAGGAAGACTCAGAGGCCAGCCTCCTAGTGGGGGAGAGGCTCAGAGGCCAGCCTCCTGGTGGGGGGGTTCAGAGGCCAGCCTCTTGGTGGGGGGGTTCAGAGACCAGCTTCCTGGTGGGGGGAGGCTGCAGCTGAGCTCCACCCCCTGCAGGCGTCGTGGAGGTGGAGGAGGGTGAGGTGAATGGGCAGGAGCTGTGCATCGCATCCCACTCCATCGCCAGGATCTCCTTCGCCAAGGAGCCCCACGTGGAGCAGGTGAGCCCGCCTTTCCCGCGGTCTGTGGTGTGTGTGGGGCTGGGTTGCCTCCCCAGGCGACCTTCTGTGCCTTCTCACTCCTCCCTGTCTGGTGTGTAGGTGGTTGGTGGTCCAGGCTGCTGGCCCCTCGTGATCACCCTTGTGTTGCTGGGTCAGAGGACACATGTGCTCTGCGTTTTGGTGGAGGTTGGCCTGCCCCTCCTTGTGGGCACTCTTCCTGTATGCTGCTGTCCCCAGTCCCTTTGAGTGTGACAGCACTGTTCACTTTTGAACCCAGCATTTGAGGGAGAGGGCTCGCCCCCTGGTGGAGCCGCAGCAACTCTGCTGGTGCGTTGCCTCCGCTTTGCCTAGGGCTTGGCCTGGGCAGCTCTGCCTGGGCTCTGCTCTGTCTGGCTGGATGGTGGCGGAAGCTCCCCTGCAGCCCTCTCTGAGTTCCCTTCCTTGGCAGGGCCTGTGTTCTTGCCAGGTTCTCCTGGGCTCCCATGCTCCTGCACAGTCAGACCCTGACCTCCCAGACGTGTGTGCTCTGGTGACGCACTGCAGTTCTGGCGCCCCAGGGGGTGAGCAGGGTCCCTTCCTGACGCCAAAGGGACTGAGCAGAGAGGCACGCAGCCTCTCCCAGGGATACCTGGTGCAGGGGCTCAGGACTCCTGTGCCCCTCCGTGTCTGCAGGAGGTTCCCACACGCCTCTGTCCACAAGTTTCTTATTGTTCTTAAGCATCAAGATCACATCGAAATGCAAATAAGCCTGAGGGCTGGTGGGGGCTGGCAGGCTGTTACAGCGGGTCCCAGTCCCTGGGATGACAGGCATGTGCCACCACACCAGCCTGGAATTCCTTCACAGCCAAATGTGCAGCGGGTAAGTGACCTTGCTGAGCCCACTGGCACATGTGTCCCCTGCTGGGTCCAGAGCCCTGCTGTATCCTGAAGCCTCCCTCCTAGCTGCAGGACTCGCACACTGTCCTGTTCTACGCCTTGTCCTGTGGTAGGAATCATGCTCAGCAGGCCCCAGCGTCCCACTGTATTTCCTGAAGCTCAGGGGGCCGTCTGTGTTGACGGTGTGTTGTTTGCTCCTGGTGAATGTCCTGCTGGTGAACCTCACAGACACAGCTTGGACAAGAAGGTTGTGCTCCCTCAACCTCATGCCCGAGCACCCCGAGTTTCCTGGGCCACCTATGCTGCGGCCAGAAGGGACTCCTTCCTCACACACAGGCTAAAGAGGGCCCTTGAGTCTGCTCTGTTATGTGCTTTTCCCGAGTCAGCCCCACTGTCTGCCAGTTATCATGGCCCGATTCCGCATGTCAGAGTGCGAGGCCTGGTGTGGCCGTGCGGGCGCCTCTCCAGGGGTCTCCGTTTCCTCTCTGCTCTCTCTGTCCTGGTCCTTTTGCTCTGCTCTCAGGGAGCTGTCCTTGTCTCCCAGCTGTCGTGCTGCATCTGGAGTTTTGCTGGTAGACTTCCTTTCCACGGACTGCCTTCTGTTCCCCTTGTGTCCTTTTTAGACCGACTTCTCTGATTTCATCCGTGGGCTCGGCAGCTTCTCCTGGGCTCCCTCTGAGAACATTTGTTTTTGAGATGGGGTCTCACTGTGCTGCCCCAGCTGGTCTTGCACTCTGGCCTGGGATGCTCCCCCTGCCTCCGCCTCCCTACTAGCTGGGGCTGCGGGCGCTGCCTCTACACTTGCTTCTCACTGAGGTGCTGGTTGTGGTCTTAGTTTTCTTCTTTCTCCATTCTTCTGTTCCTCCCAAGTTGCTTTATAATGTTTTGTTTTGTTTTGATTCTGCACTTCCTCTTTGAGGTTTCTTCAGATGCATGATGTGTTGCGGGGGTCCCAAGACCACCCCCAGCCAGATTCATGAGTAGGACTGAGCAGAGTAGCACTGGAAGCCAAGGCACCCTCACCCCCAACAGAAGGGACACAAGGAAGGCAGGAAAGGGACAGGGGCAGGTAGGTCTGGAGGAAACAGGCACCAACTCTCTGACAGAACACACCCCAGTCCCCATAAGAGTGAGGCCAGGGAGAACACTGCAGGCTGCACACCTGGGGTTGTTGGGGCTGGTCCCACAGCACCCTCCCGGTGTGTGTGTGTGTGTGTCAGTGCAGACCCCAGGAGGAAAGAGGTTTCTGCATGGACTCCTAAGAAGGAGACTCTGTCCTGCTGCTGGAAGCCAGCCCAGCTGCCGGGTTCAGGGCTGGGCATCTCCTCCTGATGGCCCTGTGCTCTGGGCCTAGCCAAAGGCCCGCTGGTGCTCTGAGGCACTGATGCCCTGCTCTCTGAATGTTAAAGATATAATCCACATACTGCAGCAGTCAGTCCCTTAAAGAGCACAATTCTGTGATTTTTAGTGTACCCAGAGTTGTGAAACCATCACCAGTTGATTTTACAGCATGTTCACATCCCAAAAGAAACCCTGTGCCACCAACTGGTTCCCTCAGGTCCCCACCCTCCCTGGCCCTTGACAGACGCTCATCTGTGTCTCCAGACTGGCCAGTTCTGAGCGCTTCCAAAGATGGGGCCATGTTCTTGGGTGTGGCTTCTCTCACTAGGCCCGACGTCCTCAAGGTGTGTCCAGGGCAGGCAGCTTTCTGTTTGTCCGTCTGTCTCTGATGGGCAGGCTGGGGTCGTGCTGTTGGTGGTAGGAGTCGGGCTTTCCTCTTCCTAGGCTGCATGTTCCCAGCTGCCACCCAGGTCCAGGAGGTTGGGTGGTGCCTCCTGGTGCCCTCTGCAGATACCAAGGAGCCCAGCCTCTGGAGGCCACCTGCGGGCACTGCTCCCCAGGTCTGGCCACCCCCTCGTTTGTGCCGTCCTGCTGTCTGACTCCTTGTGCTGCAGCCCGTCAGGCCTGGCAACAGCCTGGCCAGAGCAGGGCTGCCCGTTGCCCCCTGAGGTTCAGAGAGGACCCAGGACCCAGAGGACCCAGGACCCAGAGCCACTCTTCCCAGTGTCCAGCAGGAGCTCTCCTTGGGGGGACCCTGCCTCTGTCAGTCACCAGTACCTCTTCAGACGGAATCGCTTTTGTTTTTTAAACTTGCTTTTGAGAACAAATTTTTAATTTTATCTGATTCAAGTTGCCAGTGTTGTCCCTCCTAGATTCTGTGTTGGTGTCTTACTGAAGCAGTCTCTCTACTAACACAGGCTCTGCTTCCTGGAAGCCGCACAGTGGAACCTAGACCCTCCCTCGGTGTCCCTGACCCCGCTGCGTTGACGGGCCTGTGTGCCGTGGGAGATGCCTGCCCTCCCAGGGGGGTCAGCTGCCCACACCTGCAAGGATTCTCCCACACGGCCCTGCCACCTCTGTCCATCACTGGACCCCGTCATGTGCCCCATTTTCTTGGTGGAATACATCTTTTGGCTGTTGGATGCTCTGTGCTCGTGCAGTCAGTCACATACGATCCACACTTGTGTGCAGGATGTTACATGCTGGTGGACAGACAGAAAAACGAGGCCCTCACAGGACGTCTGTCTGTTCCTCAGATGCCCATAGGGTCCCCAGTAGGACATGTCCCATGCTGGAAGGCTGGCAAGTGGCCAGACAGTGCCCACCTGTGTGTGTCTGCTCTTTCCCCAGCGGGACCAGTGGAGACAAGTGTGGGGTCCCTGGGGAGCGTGGCCTGCGGGCTGCACGGCTCCTCTGCGGTGCTTGTGTGGGTGCTTGTCTCTGGGTGCATCTGGAGGCTGGGGACAAAGGGATGGGGGGGTGTGGACAGGTTCTGTGGGGCTAGTGCTGGTGCCTACCTTTTGGGTCTTTTTATTTTATTTGTGTGTGTGTGTGTGTGTGTGTGTGCGCGCTGGGGATTGAACTCAGGGGTATTTAACTGCTGACACACACACCAGCCCTTTTTATTTTTTATTTAGAGACAGGATCTCACTAAGTTGCTGAGGCTGGCCTCAAATTTACAATCCTCCCGCCCCAGCCTCCTGAGCTGCTGGGATCACAGGTGTGGCCACTGCACCCGACTGGCCATTGTCTTGGTGCTGGGGTTGGACCCTGGGTACTCTTCTACCCAGCCTCGCCCCAGCCCTCTCATTCTGTCTGTCCACCTGCGCATATCATACCGCATTTTGAATCAAGGTGGCACTGTGCCTGTTGCCCTCTGCTGCGCCAGGCCAGTGGCACCTTGCTGCTCTCGGGGTCTTCTGGGTCTGTGCTCCACTCCTGCGCCTTTCCCTCCCCTTCTTAAATAGTGCTTTTGAAAGAACAGAACATCTTAGTGCTGTTACCAGTTCTTTGTTTTGCAGTTAGTGTTTTCCGTGTCCTGTCGGATTTTTTTACTTAAGGAGAGCTGGAGAGATTTACAGCTCACGCTCCTCAGGAGGCTTCTTGGCCTTTCCTTTGGCTTGAGGTCTATCATGTGGGGTGGCCAGGTTCCCCCCATCAGCCCCCCGGCTCCAGCACCATTTCTCGTTTCTCAAAGACTGCCTTCCACTCGATGTTTGTGAGTCTGTCCGTGTGCAGGGCGGACACTGGACTCCACTTTTCTTCCTCCTAACACCACGCTGGGTGGACCCTGTGCTTTCTATTAAATTAACTAATACTCATGGTCCAGCATTTCCATTTTTCCAGAATTCATCTGACTCTTCTAGGACCCAGTTAGAACCAGCTTGTTAGTTTCTAAAGGAGCATTTGTTTGGGTCACTAGAATTTCCAGCTGAATGTGCAAGGGGGCACCTGAGCCCTCGGTGCAGTCTGTGGTCAGTCTGGTCGTGCTGTGGTGTGTGGTGTGTGCCCCCAACAGCAGAGCAGAAGGGGCAGCTGCAGCCTCCAGCCCTGTGGGGCTGTCACCCGTGGACACAGAGGCCTGCAGCGAGAGGAGATGGTCTGTAGACCCATCATGAGGCCAGGGACGTCCGTGGCACTGCACTCTGACAGGTCTAGGTCTCTCCTGTCCCAGATGTCATGACCCTGTGCAATGTATTGGTATTATACATCTTTTGTAGAATTTATCACTAAGGATTTTGTGGTTTTGGGTGCTGTTATAAATGACTTTTTTTAATTTTCCAATTTTTTTTGCTAGTATGTAGAAATAACAATGAACTCTTAAAATATTCTTTTATCACATAATCTTGTTAAAATCATTTACTTCACTGACTTTTTTTTATAGATTTCTTCTCTCTGGGCCTTGGTCCTGGATGCCTACTATTTCTCTGGTGCCCTTGTTGATTGATTGATTGATTGATTGATTGGCACTGGGGCATGCTAGGCAGGTGCTCTGCCACCAGGCCATACCCCAGCCCTTTTTACTTTGAGACGGGGCTGAGTTCTAGGCTGGTCTGGGGCTGCAGGTGTAGGTAGATTTCTCCAGCTAACCCTAACCCTACAAGAGTGTTGGTGGGTCAGCAAGCATTGGGGCAGGCGGGACCTTCTGACCCGACACCTGATTACTGCGTGCTCCTTTCTCGTGGAAACAGCCTCATCGGGATTCTCATGGACTAGTGGCTGCACAGGTGCTGGCTGGGGTTTCCCAAGGACACGTTGGCCTTGAATCCAGGCTGCAGGTGAAGGTGGAGGTCACAGCAGGGAAGCACGTGAGGTGCTGAGTGGAGACCGAGAACATGACATCTCAACCTGAGGTGACCAGCTCCACTTTCACCTGTGGGCGCAGGCCTAGGGTGGGAAACCAGGACCTTGGTGCCCTGCGGGGGCTCAGGGCCCAGCATCACCCACTGGTTTGAGGCCTGGGTGAGTGGATCTTTTGTAAATAAAACTAAGGCATCTTGTTTTGTTCTCTACTCAGATTACCCGAAAATTCAGGCTGAATTCTGAAGGCAAACTTGAACAGACAGTGTCCATGGCGACCACCACGCAGCCACTGACCCAGCATCTTCATGTCACCTACAAGAAGGTGACCCTGTAGCCAGCACTCCAGAGCCCGGGCCCTGCATGGCTGCAGGCTGTCGGGGCTGCGCTGTCCAGATGTTCCTGGAGTGGTGTCGAGAAACCAAATAAAAGGCCTTTATTTTTATGGCTGAGGACTGAATGTCACCTCCTGTGTAGACTGCACACGTTTCTATCTGCTGCTGGCCGCTTCTTCACAAAGTCTTTTCCCTAAATACTTTCTCTTGGGCTGGGATGGAGCTCCACGGTGGAGCGCGACCTGGGTTCCATCCCCTGCCCTGCAAAAGAAAATCTACAGAATAGACACATTTCTCTCTGTCTTCCTGCAGTTTTTTTTTTTTTTTTTTTTTAACACCATCTAAAGTACCCACAGTCTTCAGCAGAGCAGCCCTCAGCATTGTAGACAAAAGGTGAAGGGGAGGATCCCAGCCCTGGGTGCAGTGGCCACACTGGGGTCCCAGCCTCTGAGGCTGCAGCAGGAGGACCACCTGAGCCCATCCCGCTGCCTCCAAAAAGAGAAAGAGTCGAGGTCATTTCCATCACCTTCAGGATCAAGAGTCTAGGCCTCTTCCCCCAAGTCAGGTGCCCTGGGAGCCAGGCCTGCAGGGACTGCCAGCATCGTGTCTGTTTCACTCATACTCCATAAGGCTTGCTTCTGTTGCCGTGAGCCCTCCCTCCACCCAGCTCCAGCCCCGGGGAATCTGTACCTCCCCCACTTGATGCTGGGTGTGAGTGGATTCCAGACATGATGGCGGCTGCCCAGGTCTGCACTACTTGGCATGCACCTAAACACCAGGGAAGAGCCCTTTTCCAAACCCCTCTATACCAACGGCCTCCCCTGGGAGTGATGGGCAGCAGACATAGGGGGCTCTGGCTGCAGGGGATGACATCTGCTCAGGCAGCTGCAGCCCTGCGTCAGGGAATGGGGACAAGAGGCATTACCAGGTTGGGTGGCCCACATCTCAGTTCAAGGAGAGCCCAGGCCTGTGTCCAGCTCTGAGGCAGGTATGGCCAGTGGCGAGGACTTGAGCTGGCACTATGGCCCACGTTGAGGAACCTGAAGCTATTGCCCCTCCACCTGGACAGGGTGCCCTTTTGGGCTGTCACCCTTCCACCTTGCGTGGCCCCTCTTCCCTCCTGCCATTAAGCCCTCTTGGCTGTCCTGGGAGTCCCAAAGTCCTTCCCATTCACCCTGGGTGCCCTGTGTGGGTGCTCCCCCTCCCCCTATTAACAGGTGTGCTGTTCCAGCAGGTGGCTGGCCCTCCAGGGCTATCCAACAGGCTCCACTCCTGCTGATGCTCTGCCTGACCTTCCCAGGTGTTCAGTTCTCTTTGATCAGTGCAGGGCCCACATCACACGCCGTCTGGCCCAGGAGCCCTCCATCTGTAGGTCCCCGACCCAGAGGCCCTCCCCACAGAGCCTGGCCCCACTGGTGGGGTACAGAGCCTCATGGCGGCTGCTCTTCCTCCAGACCTCCCCCCAGCCTGGAGGACAGCTTCCTCGTTTGCCTTCCCCAAGCCTGCAGAGCTCAGGACCCTCCTCCCCAGCTCTGCTGGCAGAGGACCAGCCCGAGGCCCATGCCTGCAATACCAGCAGCTCAGGAGGCTGAGGCAAGTTTAAGGCCAGCCTGGGTCACTTAGACCCCATCTCAAAATAAAAAAATAAAAAGGGCTGGGGGTATAGCTCAGTGGTGAAGAGCCCCCCTGGGTTCAATCTCCAGTATGGAGAGAAAAAAAAAAAAAAGAATGACAAAAAGAAAAAGGAAAAAAATTATGGGTTCATATTAATGTTTCCAATTCACATTTTAAGATTATAGTGACTTTTTACTTATATACTTGGACTTTACCTCATTTCTCTTAAGCTGAAAACAGTGGTTTATCACAGCACTATTTGCTTTATCCTACAGGATAATATAATTCGTTCAAAATAATAATAGTTACAATAAGGACTGCTGTTGAAGTTTGATATTTTGGGGAGCTACTCTATACTTTTCCCATTGAAGGCATAAAATTAAAATATGATACAGTTGGAATAATTAATTTCTCTTTGTGCCTAAGTCACCAACACAGCTGTTCAGTTTAGAAAAGGTCTCCTGCCTGGGGTCAGTGCTGTCCGGGCAGCTGTATGCATGTCCACATGCGGGAACTGCCCATGCTCCGTAGGCTGCCAGCTGCACTGGGGGCAGCAGGACCTGCCCATCCTGCAGTCCCCAGGCCAGAGCGTTTCCCTGGCTTCTTGCAGTCTGATCAAGGCAGACTTCAGTACAGGCTTGCCTGGCCAGCTCAGAGGTGGCCCTTCCTCCACAGAGCTGGCCTTGGCACCACAGCTGCCCACCCCGGGACCACAGGGACTGCTGTCCAGCTTGGATCTGGGCCAAGCTAATGGGTGGGAAATGAAGTCCCGGGGGTAGTTTTGGTCTGCATTTCTCTTATATTTTCTTTTTTTTCTTGACTTTCAGAGCTCATGAACTCTTGAATTGGAATAATGACGCTAATGTCTTTCTCGTAAGTCACCCTTTTTAGATTGAGATAACATACACATTACATAAAACCAACATTCTGGCATCTTTTTTTTTTTTTAGTTTTAGGTGGACACAGTATCTTTATTTTTATGTGTTGCTGAGGATCAAACCCAGTGCCTCATGCGTGCTAGGTGAGTGCTCCACCACTGAGCCGCAGCCACAGCCACAGCCCCACATTCTCACATCTTAAAAGTGGCATTCAATGCTATCATAATACTATGCCTCCACTCTCCTTCCAAAGATCCTCACCCCAGAAGGGAGCCCACGCCAGCATCCTCACATGCCTGCCCTGGGCCCGGAGGGCCGTGTGCTTTCTGCGGCTGACATTTTTTCCAGTTTGTGTTGTATTTATTGCTCCTAGATTTAAAATCTCATGTAGGCAATTCCGGTCACTCCCCAGTTATTAAGGATCCGCAGTCCCCTGGCCTTGCTTGGTGGCAGGGGTCAGTGTCAGAAGCTGCCTCCTCCTGTGGTGGGGAGAGGCTACCTGCCTTGAACTCAGTTCCTGGGCATGGAGGTCAGCTCCTGCCCTGCCCCCTTGTCCTGGAGCCGCCTGGTATGGTCTTGGAGTGGCTGGCGAGGGGGCTCCCCACGTCTCTGTTCCAGGGTGGTCCAGGCTATTTTTACTCCTCTCATGATCTTTATAGTCAGCTTGCTTAGATTTGTGGGACTTAGATTTGTCTGCTGCTTTTAGAAGGGTTATGTTTGAATCATGGCTGTTTTTTGGCCCCCAGGATTGCGTTTCTCTTTCTACCTGTTGATGTCCACTTTGAGGCCCTGAAGGTATTCCTGGTCTTCCTCACATTGGGCTCACGTTGCTTGTTCCACTGATGCTGAGTCTGTCACTGCCAGGATGGGTCATCTCTTCCTCCATGTCCTCTGGCGGGGCCTGCAGCCAGGCCACTGTTCTCTGCCTCTTCAAAGTGCCACTTCTCTGGGTCCTTAGCACGGAGACACTCTTGTGCTGGACTCAGACCACAGGCTTTGCTCCAGGAAATGCAGATGGGAGCCTGCAGAGCCGCGCAGTTCCTCCGCCCTGCACCCAGGCTGCTGTCCACAAGACAGGCAGTGCCAAGACCACCCAGCTGGTGGCCGTGCAGAGGCAGTGCGCACCCTGAGCTGACTTCACACAGCTGCCAAGAGGCCTCTGGAACCCTGTGCTTGTTGCCAGGGGCTGGGGGATGTGACAGCAGCCGGTGGGACTTCCCAGGAAGGGAAAGGGGCCAGGACAGCAGCAGGGGCCCTGAAGGAGGGGACAAGGTGGGGATGGGCTGCAGAGACCTGAGGGGTTCGCTTCATCAGGAAGCCAGCAGGGCCAGAGAACCTTGAGAGTCGGCGGTCTCAATCCTGTGCTGTGCAGAAGGGAAACTGAGGCCATGTGGCCACCTGCCAGCACAGTATCCTGTGGCCCAACCTGGAGTCAGATGGGCCTTGGGAGAAGGTCCCTGCATCAGAAAATCAGGGAGTGTAGGCCTGCGTGGGACCCCACCCCTGCAGTGAAGCCGGCCTGGAAGCAGCTAGACAGAGGGAGCTAGAGTGGAAGAGGCCCAGGGGACAGCTGCAGAGCAGCCTGGCCTCAGTTCCTACTGTGTGTGTGCACATGGGAGCCTCCGGTAGCACAGCAGCAGACGACGGGGCCCTCCGGTAGCACAGGAGCAGAGGACAGCACCCCCAGGAGGTCTCAGAGGCACCCACACTTGACTGTCCCTTTGATTCAGCTGCCAGGGTCCAGTGAAACCTCTCATGGGAAATAGCTGCCAGCCCTGCCCTCGAAGGCCCCAGACAGAATTCCAGGTGTGCAAAGTCCAGGGCCGTGGACCCTACTGGGGCCTGACTAGTGGCACCAGTGACCCATGGCAATGTCCTGTGCATTTCTACTGCCCACACACCCTGGACTTCCAGCGCCTTCTGCTGTAGGAACAGGCACCCACCTCTCCATCTGAGCAGACTAGAGAACCACACACCTCCCTCTGTGCCCCAGGCAGGAGGGCGGCTGTCTAAAATGAAACCACAGTTGGGACTTTATTGTCCAGTCTCTGCCCATCCCCCATGCACGACCCTGGGGCTGCTTCCTGCAGGGCCCTCTCTGCCAGGCAGGCAGGCTCCAGCTCCTGGCCTGGGGACAGGCTGTTAGGCCAGTGGAGCTGCAGGGTGGGGACAGGAGCCAGAGAGGAAGGGCACTAGCGCAGCCACCCAGGCCCCACTCAGCAGGGCTGGGCTGCTGGGGCTACAGGAGCACGCCTGGGCCAGCCTGGACTCCAGTGTACTCCACGGGGCTGGGCTTCCTGGTGTCAAGTTCTCTGGGAGCCGGATGAGGGGGACACAAGGAAAGCAGGGCACACAAGCGTCCTCCACCGAGGTGAAGCTCCGGGGGTCCCACTTGCCCACAGGATCACAGGTCCACTGGTCAGGACACTGGCCTGGAACCTACGTGAGTACTCCGCCACGATCAGGGCACTTCCCCCCTCTAGAAATGGGTGAGGCCACCAGCACGGGAGCCTGATGCTGTTGACAGCTGGTCAGAGCGCTCAGTCCTCCCACTTCAGCAGGCAGAGACTCCTCAGATGGACTGGGCAGGGCCCGCAGCCCACGAGGACCACAGCCAG